GAACCAAGTACTCTGTAGGGAATGGATGGGCCTGAAGTGTTTATTTATTTTTTTTGATATTTCTTTTTTCCAGGAAGATTAATTTTTTGCCTTCTCTGTCTCTTTCCGTTTATTTACTGATCACTGACTCTGCTGGACCCTGTGCTAAGCGCTTTTTTATGCATACCTTCATTTAATCATCACAGTGACAAGTATAGTTATTATCCCTCTTTCACTGATGAGGAAACTGAGGCTCCAAAGTTAATTAGCTGGTCCAAGTTTATATGGCAATTAAGTAGTGAGACAGGATTTAAACTCAGGTCTTTCTGATGCCAAAGCCAATGCTATTAACCATTATTATATTATATTATATGATCCCTCCTTGTTTTGTTGAAGACCAACTAAAGCTTGCACTGGCCTTTTAAACTATATACACTCGACCCAACTTCCAAGGCCACCATCAAGTGCCCAGCCTGGCTTCTGCTCCTGCATATGTCACACGCTGGAGTGATTGGGCTGCTATTGTAGCTTTATTGGCAAATTTGGTCTTGTGGGTGTATGTCTACTTCTAAGTGTACACCGTAAACTCTCTACCCATGATGACCATGTCTGTACCTCTGTAAGGCCTTGTACCGAGAAAAATTCAATTCTTGTTCCCCAACTCATGGTGCATAGTATACCGGGCTGGTATCTGACAGATCAGGGTTTGAACACACCATTTACTGGCCGTGGAACTTTGGGAATGTCCTTGAACCTCTCTGAGATTATTTCTTCCTCTGTAAAGACATATACTGAGATCTATTTTACAGAGATATTGGGAAAATTTAAAAATAACCAGCATTGATATTTGTGTTTACTGTAGGCCAGGAGTAGTACTTTGAACAGGGAACTAGATAAATTATTATATGTTTATTGTAGTTGTTGCTAATTTATGAACCAGAGTTGTCCGACATGGTAGGTAGCCTCTGGCAACATGTGGTGACTTAAGTTTAAGTTACTTGAAATTTAACTATTTAATTAAAAATTTGGTTTCTTCCCCATCACTGACTGCTTGAAACAAAACAAAACAAAACAAAACAATTCAGTTGCTTAGTCTCAGTAGCCAAATGTCTAGTGCTCAGTAGCCATGTGTAGCCATGTAGCTAGTGGCCACTGTATTGGACAGAGCAGATGCAGAACATTTCCATCATTGCAGAAAATTCCACTGGACAGCGCTGTTCTAAACTAACTCTTGGCCAGGCGCAGTGGCTCACGCTTGTAATCCTAGCAATCTGGGAGGAAGACGTGGGAGGCTTGCTTGAGATCAGGAGTTCGAGATCAGCTTGAGCAAGAGCGACACCTCATCTCTGCTTGAAAAACAAACAAACAAACAAACAAACAAACAAACAAACAAAACCCCAAAACTCATTTACCTGCATGTTCCTCCTGGTGCTCAAAGATATGTGTGGTACGAAGGACTAGATTTGAGGGGATGCAGAGGTCGGGAGATTCTGAAAGCTTTGCTTTTTCCACTGCACACACTCACATGGCTGGGGGAAGGATCGCAGGAGGAGAGAACTCTGCAATCCCTGTGTACAATCCTTGCTGCCAGGAGGCTGTCTCTGTGTGTGTTGCTCTGTGTGTGTGGGTTGCTGTGTGTGTGCCTGTGTTGCTCTGTGTGGGCATGTGTACATGTTGCTTGTGTGCATGTTGCCCCATGTTAACTATGGTGTCAGATGAAGCGAGTGAGTGCTGAGAGTGGGAGTGTGCCCTAAGCCAGTCGTTCCCTGGAGGTCTGAATGGCACCTGGCTTCTGATCCTAAGGGACAGTGAACCTATAGAAGCTGGAGCTGAAAAGGGACCCCACAGAGAGTGCCTGCTCTGTTCTTTAGCATTTGTGTCGTTTGGCCTTAAAAGAACATTTTAATTTTTTGGTGAGTGGTATTGTCCATCACCTCTGTGTGTGTGAGAAAGAGTGAATATGTGTGTGAGTTGAGTTAGAATCTGGTTGAAGGTGACTTTGGGGCTTTTTCAGCGGAGATGTAGGTGCCATTTGCAGTGGGTGCTGACTCAGCTTCATGGGTGATGTTTTGTGAGCATATGGCCCATAGTCGTCATTTATGGCATGCACATGACTTGCTCCAAGATACAGAGTGTAAAGGGGACGCACACGACTTCTGTCCCCAAGAGCTGATGTGCCAGATAACTGGTGAGTCGGGGTGGACTGGCTTTCCTGGGCTTGTGTGACCAGAGAAGGCTGCATTGTCCTGAAAGTCACTGTCACTTTGTGCCAATAGACACCCTACCTGGGACTGGTTCAAGCCACACTACAGGTGAGGGGCACTAGAGCCCTGGCTCTGTTCCTGGTGGGAGGGCTTAGCTGGGTGAGGCTGATGCTTTCTGAGGGCTGCCAGCAGCAGAGACAAATGCAGATGTCAGCCCAGTCTAAACAAAGTGATGGAGCAGGTATGTCCGCGTGCACACTCACACAGCAACACACACACGCCCACACACAGCGACACACAGCAGCACATGCAGAGCAACACCCACACACAGTGACACACACAGCAACACTCACACACACACCCACGCACAGCAACACGTGCACACAAAGCAACACACATACGACAACACACCCACAGAGAAACACATAGAGCAACACAGTCACAGAGCAACCTACTCATAGCGACACACACAACCCCCCCCACATACATACAGCAACACGCACAGCACACATGCACATGTGCTTTTGCTTACATTGTACTCTTGATCTGAGATGCCTTCCTTTTCCATCTTAATCTATTCAGATTTAATTCCAAGGGCTTAACCCTGTGTGTCAGCCAGGGTCCAGCTACACCAGTAATTTGAACAGGGAAAATTTAGTATAAAGTATTAGTAATTAGTAAAAGGTTGTTAACTCCTGAAAGGAGTAGAAGAAGGTTCCAAGAGTACAGTGGTAGCAAACATATAAATCAGCTACCCCTTCTGGTGCCGAGGGATAGTGAACAGGACAGAAGTAAGGACTTGGCAGAGATCCTCCTGCCCATGAGGCTGAGGGTCAGGCCTCGATGGGGCAGGCAGGGCTGCTCCAGAACAGGCTGGTGGCAAGGGGACACGGTGGAGGCCTGAGCCAGAGCTGGCCCATGGGAGCAGCCTGCCAGGAGGGAGGAGGCCAGAGCTGATCTATAGGAGCGGCCTGCTGGGTGGTCAGGACACTCGCTGGAGGGGTGGGCCTGAGTTGGTCCATGGGGAGGGCACCACAGGTAGACCAGAAACTTACTGGAGGGTATGGGCACAGCTGGCCTACGAGGCCACTGCAGTAGGCACTGCCAGCCGCTGACCTCCTGGCTGTGTGCTGCTGACAGCAGTGCCCTGGGACCAGCAGGGGAGACCCCTTGCTCCTGCTGTGGCCTCACAGTGTCCCTCAGAGCCACCACTGACAAAGCCTGCTGTCAAGTCATCTGACAGAGGAGCGGGAACACAGGACCACAAAGCAGGCAAAGAAGAGTGGATTGGGAGCTGAGAGGCTGTGTGCTCATGTCCAACACACACCCCGGTTCCTGCTCCCTGTGAGCCAAACCTCTCCAGTGCCAGCCCTCTTGTTCTTTCATCTGTGAGTTGCCACGGTACCCAGCCAGGGGCCCTTTCCTCTACTTGTGGCCGTGTGTCATTCTCTGTTGTGCGAGCAGCTCTGTCGCCCTCCCCGATAGTAGAGGGCACGTGGCTGGGCCCACAGTAGGTCCCCAGGGACTATGTGGTGGCTGATGTCTCTCCTGGGAGAGCCCTTCCAGAGCGGGGAGGTGGCCCTGTCTGCCCCTGGGCTGTGCAGCCCCAGTCATCACCCCAGCCCAGAGCCCAAATGGGGGGCTTGGTCCTCTGAGGGTCCTGCTTTCCAGAGCTGCAGCCGCTAAAGAAGATGGGGCCACCAACACACACACAAAATGGGCTCGCAGCACCCTGGGGATTTGCTACTGCCTCCCACCAACCAAGTCAGCAAAGAGAGAGTGAATAACTATGGATTTGCACTCTCTTAGATGCCATGAAGGATGCTGACATAATTAGCACATATCAGGGGCAATAAAACCATGCGAGCAGTTAAATAACAGTTGACAACAAAGATGGAAGAAGCATTCAAAGATCCTATATAATTAGTTGCCAAGTGAAGCACACAGGAAGCCTTTACTTTAGATATTCAGAAGAGAGTGCTGCATGCCTAAGCACCCTCATCCCAGAGCCCCGGGCTCGTTGGCCCCCCTCCCACCAGAGCAGAGCAATGGCCCAGACCCCAGGCTCTATCTAGCAGGCTGCCCAGGTGGGCATCCTGGTGGGCAGTAGGAGGTCGGTTAAGGCTACTCTTTCCTAGACGACCTGCCCAGCTGCCAACTCCCTGCGCCTGATGCCCCCAGCACAATTATTCCTCCAGTTAATGAGGAAAGCCTGCCAAAGTTTACTGTGTTAAAAGAGCCTTAGATTTGGAGTGTCTTCTAGACTTTCTTTTGACGTTTATTAGCTATTGCTTTATAAACACAACAACTGAGTTTCTCATCTTTAAAGCTACTAACACCTGCCTCCCTGAGCTGCTGTGAAGATTAAAAGATGTAATGCATATGCCCATGTTTTATAAATTGTAGAGATCTCAACAAACAAAGTATTATTAGTATGTCTGAAGGGTGAGTGGCAAGTACATTAACTCAAAGTACCATTGAGTGAATCATTAGTAGATAAAGCTTGGTTAAATGCCTTGAATGCTCACTTCTAGGGAGGGGGACCTAGACCAGGTAAGTTTGGATGGAGAGGAGCAGATCGGAAGCACTGGGCCATGTATGAAGGCCCGCTCGGCATGCAGTTGGGCTTGACTGCTGTGTGTACCAGGAGACTGAAGGAGGATGGTGAGGGAGGCGAAGGGAGGGATGTAGGTGTATGTGCGCGCACACGCACCTGCTCTGGACGCTAGAGGTGGGGCTAGGGATTGGTGTTTTCAGGCAGGAGAAGGGAACAGTCTGTACTCACACCTCTCTGGGCCCCGGCCTGTCTCCCTACAGGTGCACCTCCGATCTGCCAGGCGTCTCTGTGAGCTCTGCTGTGCCAACCGGGGCACCTTCATCAAAGTGGGCCAGCACCTGGGGTCTCTGGACTATCTTCTGCCAGAGGAGTACACCAGCACACTGAAGGTGCTACACAGCCAGGCCCCGCAGAGCAGCATGCAGGAGGTCCGCCAGGTCATCCGCGAGGACCTGGGCAAGGAGGTACCTGCCTTTGCTGGGGGGTGGGCCCAGGGTGGCATGTTCAGAAAAGGCAGAGTTCTTGTTGCCTGGGCCCAGGGTACTGGGTATTCACCAGTGACACAGAACCAAATGTCATAGCAACTCTTGGTGCTGAAGTCAAAGTGCTAGAAGGAACCTCAGTGGCCCTCAGTAAAAAATACTAGTTGAATCATATGGAATTGTTTGTGTTTGACTGTTTTTGACCTACAACCTAATATGATTCATATATTTCAATCTAATAATATCTATCAGGTATTGAGGGCTTAATGCCTTATTAAAGTTTTAAATCCTTAGCAGGGCTTTCGAGATCCATTCTGTTTGGTTTCAACTTGCCTATATGTTTTGTGGCTATACCTTGGGGTAGAGTCTGGGCTCAGGAGCCAGGAGCTTGGGCCTTGGACCTTGCACAAATGATTGATTCTATTGATATCTCACTTCCTTATCCATAAAATGGGGGTAGCCATGGTGCCCGTCTCATAGGGTTGCTGTGAGGATTAGAAGTGATAATGAATGTAAAGTGCTTAGTATAGTACCTGATGTGCAGAGCAAATGTTCAACAAATATTAGTTACTGCTAGTATTTTTGTTATTTCCCTATGCTTTGGTCACATTGTGCTACTTGTCTCAAACTCACTGTGTACCCTTATTCCTTGGGGCCTACTCCCATGGCCTGCCATCTGCCTGGAATATCTTCACTCTGTTCTCTGTCAAGTAATTCTAGGCCATGTGTCCATCTGTCCATCCGTCTAACAAATGCCAGGCCGTGTTGCTTGGTGCTGGCATTCCCATCCAGCCCCCAGCTCTTCTATGAAGTCTTCTGTGACTCTCCCTGGACTAATCTTATCCTTCCTTGGGGCTCTACAGAACTGAGATCCCTGCACTTGGGTAACTTGTGGCTTGGTTAGTTGTGTCTAGGGTTTCCTCTGCAAGTCATAGAGTCTTTGAGGATGAAGATCATGATGGTCCTTTTACGCTGTGTCTATAGTGGCAGGACAGTATCTAGTACATGGTAGGTGTCAGGGTTTGTTTAATGAGCCAACGGGTGAACTTGTGACAGCTTCCTTAGGCTCTTTGGCACAGGGCTGAGAGTAGGGGCTGAGAGAGGGTTGGTAAAGACCACTTGGTTCCATTTTTATTGATCTATATGAAGCTAGCCCTAACTGTTGGTACCTTAATGTGGAGCTGGTCCCCCCAGGTACCTCTCATGCAGCCACAGTTGTCCCACTCCTCAGTGACTGGCTGGCCTGGATGGGGGCCCAGACCGCGAAGGAGGTGAGCATAGAAGTGTCTGTGACTCCTTTGCCCCTTAGGAACATTTCCCCCAAAGGGAGAGACATTGAGTGAAAGGTAAACTCGATTTGGGGCTGGAGTCAGGGAGCAGGCCTCATGCTAGGAGGGTCAGGGTGAGGATGCAGGGACCCCAGGCAGAGCAGACAGGATTGACATGGTGCCAGCCCACACACAGCTTTGTCTCTTGCCAAGACTGTGGGCCTCTGGCTTCCAACAGCAAGAGATTCACCCTCAAATTAAAACTAAATAAATCACTATAATAACAGTGTGAAGTGCATCGTGGCTGGCATGTGGCAGCTCACTGGAGGTGGATGCGCAGGAGGGGAAGGCAGCAGGAGATTAACCCCTGGAGGGTTAAATGCCTTGTAGGAGAGCTGGGGAGGGGGACAGGGCAAGAGCAGGTCAGTGGCTGCCTCGAAGCCAGGATGAACGAGATGGGAAGTTTGGGGTGTCAGCAGTCATGGTGGGTCCACTCAGCTGGCTGAAGGATGTTTGGGGTTGGAAGATGTTGCCTGCATCTTTAGGGGCTCTCTTCCAGCCTCCTGTCCCCGACCCCCTGCCAGGTAGTCCTGAGCATGGTGGCCATGTGGCTCCTGTCCTGCAGTGCCCAAGCCCCCGAGACAAAGGCTGACGTCAAGGGCACGGTTCTGAGGGGGCGTCCCTCACAGCTGGGAAGCTTCTTACCATGGCCCCACAGGCACACGAAGCCTTCTCTTTCCTCCTCCTCCTCCCCCTCCCTCGTGGGAAGATGGCATTTGTTCCCCGGTGACACACTTTTTTGGTCTGTGGGTGGAGGGAGGGGAAAGGGGCTGTGTGGGAGTGAGGGCGGAGGCAAGTCACTCACTGGCGCTTCCCTCCTCCTCCCGCCCCTCCGGTGACACTTCTTGGGGAGCAGTCTCGCCCCCAGGATGATGTCTGAGTGGGCCCCCTCACCCTGGGCTCTATGCCAGCCCTGGAACCTTCTGTTGAAAGCTTGATTCCATCCCTGGCTTCAGGAGTGTGCTCAGAAGGAGCTGGGTCTGGCCCAAGTGGCCATCTTCCAACATGCCAGTCCTTGGAGAGCATTGAGCTTACCCTGAGCTCAGAGACCCCTCTGTGGAGAGGGGCTCAGGGATGGTGTGCTCCAGCCTGTGCTGCTCGGTTCCCGTCAGCAGCAGCCTTAGAGGGTCCCCAGTGTCCTCAGACCTGTCCCTGCCCCAGGTATGTGGGGGTGTCCCTGAGGGGTGTCCCCAGCTTGAGAGTGGGAGGTAAGGTTGAGAGATAAGGTTGAGGTTGCAGCACTTTGGGACCCATGATTCGGTTCTGGATTAAGGTCCCTGGACATCAGCTGACACCGTTGGTGTACCGTTGAGGGCGAGTGAAGGGGGATCATCCTTGTATAGGATTGGGTTAGGCAGGAGAGTGCTGGGGGCCACACAGCTGGGGCCGGGACAGTGACAAGCAGCAGGATTCGACCTCAGGTCTTCTGACCCCCAAGACAGTGATTTGTCCCCTACATAAGAGAGCTTTTGTTTGGCAGAAAAAACCAAAACAAAACAGGTATGTGTGTGTTTCTTGGAATACTCAACTAATAATACCAGAAAGAAACTTGCTTTATTCCTTTTATTTTGATTATTAGGCTTATGTCCTGAAAGACAGGTTCCAGGAAGCAATCAGGAGCCCAGCCTCCAGGAGGTGGGATTACTTATGCTTTCCCAGGAGTGAGCTGGGTCTGGACTGGGGTGGGGATGGTTTGACTGCCCTTGGGGCTGTGGGTCCAGATGCAGTGCTGGCCTTGGCCAGCAGATGGCGCCTGAGCCTGCGAGTCAGGGAGGGGTGTTGATGACCGGCCCTTCCCTGCAGGGGGAGCCTCGAGCAGGTGGATGAGACTCAGGTTCTCTACCTGTGGAAGGAGGCTAAATGGGGTGGGCACAGACCTGTGCCATGAGGCTGTTGACCACCCTGGCCCCCATGAGCCCTTGGCTCCGTGTTGGAGGACCTGGCATGGTTCTTCACAACAACCACAAACCCTTATGGATCCTCATCTGGGTTAGTAGTTGTCTGAGGCCCCTGCAGGCTCTGACAGCCTGTGATTCTGTGGTTCAGCACCTTTTCCTTCATTCTTTCATTCCTTCCCTTTTTTGCTCATGCACACAGCTGGTACTTAGTGCAACAAGCACAGTGCTGGATGCTGGGTGTAGCCGGGGACAGGTATGACCTCATCCCGCCACACGCCGGAGTCCAGGGTCGTGGGAAGGAGCACTCATTGTAGTGACACCTGGCCATGCGAGTGCCCTGAGGAGTTTGCAGGAGGGAGAGGGGTCACATTCGGATGGACGGGGGCTTTCTGAAGCAGGTGGCATCTCACCCAGGCCCTCTGAGATGGGTGGGATTGGTTGGAGGAGGGGATTCCTGATTAATGAGGTGGCTCTGCAGAGGTGCAGGGACAGGAAAACATAAAGCATGGAAGGTGAGCACAGAAGTCTTGTTGGCTAGAATGTGGCCAGGGCCAGAGAATAGTGGAGCTGAGGTTGTAAAATTGGGGATCTGGAATGTTCTTTTGAGACTGCGAGCCTGAGGGAGAGGAGAACTTGGAGCAGGACCTGAGCAAAGGAAGGAGGAAGAGACTGAGATGTACAAAGTGGGGTAGCGGGTGAGGTAGGGGTAGATGAAAGAACTTTTCTAACAGTCTGAGTTTTTAGTACTGAGGGAGATGAGGTCATCTTTTACAAGTGGCAGGGCGAAGGTGTAGGTAGGGAGGTTTGAGGTGGGTGGAGAGCTTGGGGATAGAGTTATGGTGGGACTTCAGAGATGACCTGTAGGATTGTCAACTGCACAGGTACAGTTATCCCTGGTTATGGACACACATACACACACACACACTCCTATACCTGACCCCACCCTAAACTCATACAGATTTGCACCAGATAGGTTTTTTTCTAGCTCTGAAATTCTATGAGAAACTGAATGAAATGAGGCCAGCCGCTGGAGTGGAGCATAGAAGGACCTTTGCTGGGGCAACACTCGTGTTGGTGTCAGAGTAGTGTGGTTTGGCTCATGTACTCAGAAACACGTCTTATCAGTCTTTCATCCCTTGACATCCTCTCCCAGGGAACCTGATTTTATAGCTTCCCATAGTACCCAGGGGCGAGTGCTGCATGTTGCGTGTGCTCAGCATTCTTGATGCACCATCTGCCTGGAGTTGCTGCAAGAATGCAGAAGAGAAGGTGTGGGAGTACCTTTGTGCACCGGGTGGAAGGATACACACCAGTTGTTTCGTATGAACCCATGGGTGCAGGTGGAAGACAACTTTTTTGTCTTGTTTCATTGTAGGTTTAAGCAAAAGTTCAGGAAAGAGATTTAAAAAAAGCCTCTTCCCCCAAGAACATCAACTGTTTATCAAGTCGGCGGTGGCAGAGGGAAGGTGCTGTAGGTGTGAGGACCACCATGAGCAAAGGCAAAAAGGGAGAGGGGAGGCAGGAGAATGCCTGGCCCAGGCAAGGGACACACAGCACCTCTACTGTCACATAAGGAACTTAGTGGGAAGTAGGAAATTGTGACCCCATTGGGCATCCCTTCCTCCGGGCTGTGGCAGCTATGCCAGGGCTGGGATGGAGCTCATTCTTGTATTGGTCAGGGCTCCCCAGAGAATGAGAACGAGCAGGATACGAATGTGTGTGTATGTAGTGGCAGAGGGGGGAGGTTAAGAGAGAT